GAAAGCTTCAACGTTGACGACGTCCTTGAGATCCACATCCAGGGTGTAGCGAGTGGGCATGAGGTGCTGGTAGTTCACGAGCTTGACGAAGGGCTTTACCCTGGATTTCTTGGCAGTCTTCTTCGCCGAGTCCTTGCGGATAACCTTGCTGGGATACTTCTTTATCCCCGCAACCAAACAGTGGCCATAGGGACGATCGCGAGTGCCGTCGTCGAAGGCGCGAACGATCACGGCCTTGCGTCCGGCGTAGCGGCCCTGGAGGATGATGATGGCCTTGTTAGGCTTCAGAAACTTAACCATTGTGCCTCTCTCTTCTCTCCTCTCTCTCACTCTCTGGTTTCGGCCAAATGTGGTGAGGAAAAACCCTAAATGAGAGATTATATAGTTATGGCGGCTCAGCGAAACCCTAGGTTTAGGTGGATCTGGGCTGACGAGAGTTTTTGTGTTGGGCTTTTAGGACTTGGATTGGGCTGGCTAACTATTATTTTATTTCTCTTCCTTAATTGGAGCACAACCAAAAATATAAAATAAGCTTGGAAAATAAAAATGCAGTATATTTTGTTATTAATTTTGGTTAAAAAAAATTAAATCATGCAAATTTTTTTAAAAAAAATTCATTATTATAATTTTTTTATATATAAATATAAGTGATAGTCTAAACTATAAGGAGAGAAAGGTTTCTTACACACAATTGATCACCAGTTTGTCTAAACTAAGATGCTATGAGGGTTCAAAGCTAAGACTACTGGTCTGCAAGTCAATACCATTTTGCATTTATCTCAATTTGTCGGCTATTTTCATTATTACTTTAAAAATACTAAATAAACTTTAAAATTTTAGAATATTGCAAAAATAAAACGGAATTATGATGAAGATGACAAAATGTAAGTAATGGGCTAAGGAAATATGAAATTGAGTTTCTGGATTTGGTTTTGAATAAGGGTTGTGGATTCAATTGCTCTCGGCCTTTTATGGTTACTATTTAGTCCAAAATGAGTTTTTGCTTTGTTGAAATAGTAAGGTTTCATTCAATTGTCAAAGTTACAGACTCGAGCGAACAAATGTGGCTTCATGAGTTCTAGAGACCCAGTCTTAAGTTTCTTTTTTGCTCTAACACTTTTATTTCTTTGAAAAATGGACTAAGGATTGGATAGAATAGAGGAATTGATTGATAGATTAGTTGAATAAATTATTGACTAATCATCTTTGGATTCTCCATATTTTGGGGAGATTTTTGTTGTTGTTGGAATAGATACTTTATTAAAATAATAAGCACCAAATAAGAGTGTACATAAGATAGCACTGAAAACAACCAATACTATCCAAAACCCAAACACGAGAGACAAGAACAAATGTTATTTTGGTGAGATTAAGGAGTGAAAGTTTGTTCCTTGTGTTGTTATTGTCAGTAATAACTATCGCTTTTTAAAAAATCACAAGTTTTAGGAATAATGTGGTCCTCTATTGTATTTCAATATATTCGACTTGAGAAAGAGTCAACAATCAAACATTTGTTTTTCTTTCTATTTTTTAATACAATTTTGGACACCAGCACCCCATCTACCATGTATTTAAATGGTATCTAAATTCTTTATAATAATTTTATTTAAAAAAAAAACAGGTATCTAAATGAAATTTCTCTTTTTTATTCTTATACAAATTTCTGAAGCGGCTTAGTTGATCCATGATTTATCTTTCGTATCAAGTGGGAGCAATGGTTAGCACCAAGATTTTTTCTATAACCAATTTTATTCGAACCAAAAATATAACTATAATTCAGTAGACTGTTGTGGGTGGAGTTGGGCCGAATAGAATCATGGCCACCCATAGTTATGGAGAGAGCTTTTATAATGAAGGACTATGTTGAGGGATTCAATCTAATAATTCAATAATAATTTTATACTTAATCGAATGGCTATAAAGGATCCCCTCATTTGTTATAGATGTGATATTTGTTAGTACTATGATTTGGGCATCACTAGGCTCACATGAAGCTCGCAATATTATTATTAATTTTTTTGGCTCAGCACATGACGCTCACAATAGAAGGCCCAAGTCTTGCATTTTTAAGGGAACACTCCCTTCATTTGTAACCTAGTTTGTTGTGCACTCTCATCTTACTTTCTCAAAGGGTCTCAAGCCTATGTACAATATAACAACTGTCCACTGTAGTGAAAACAACCATACAATTGTTATTATTTTTTTCAGTTCAAGGGGTGCAATCAAGTAACTCATTTTCTAGCAAGTCATGCACTGAAATGTAATACTATAGTAACTTGGATTGAAGAAGTTCCCCTTTGACTGGAGCCAATTGTACAAGATGATATTGTTGTATCCTCTTAATTGTTATCAATGATTTCCTCTTTCAAAAAAAAAAAAAAACTCAACGTGAGCGTATCCATTCGGGTGAACCACGATAAATCTGTTGTGTTTATGTGTGTGTTTTGTGACCTTATCTCACAATATTGATAATTTTATTTAAACGGAATTTGTGCAAAGCATATTAAAGAGAGTGGGCAATGGAACCAGATATACCTCATGCTCAAAGCATGAGTTTCAAAAATATCAATGACAAGTTTGTCAAACACGCTGGCTTGGTTGCTTTACACTATCAACGGGACCAGATATACCCCATTTTTGACGCCACCTAACGTTTGAACATTGACAAAAGACTTTAAACTACAACAGAAAAAGAGCACGATAATATTGTGTATTATTAAGGGATTAAATCTGGCCATATACGAAGAAACACATCCACCATCAACACTACAAAAGAAGAATAACCAAAAAAAAAGTAGCAGCCAGATATCTGAAATGAATAACAATTATTATACAAAGATGATGAGAGTTGGACAATCAGGAACTGTATCTCTTCTTCAATATCACACAAAAAACTAAAAACTAAGAATTGTAAAAATATAAATGATGTGATCAGAGATATTGAGATTATTGGGTGGACTTGTTTCAATCAAGGCAAGCATCCAACACACAACAGCAACACAAGGCAGCACAGCAGCCCTTCCAGAAGCCATCACCCTTTGACTTGGCTTCTACGGGAACAGAGTTCTGGGGCTCAGCTCTTGTTGGGTAGCCTGCAGGAGGTGGAGGAGCTCACATGATATTGCTGGGCAGAGTTGAAGGTGACAGGTAGCTCGCCAACTAAAGCTAGCAGTTTGTCAATCGCACCACGCCTTGTGGTTTAATTAATCGTAGAGACTAGGGTTCGGCAATGATATAATAGAGGAACTGATTGATGGATTAGTTGAATAAATTATTGACTGATCATCTTTCAATTACCCGACTCGAGAAAGAGTCAACTGTCGAAAATGGGATCACTTCTTATGGACTCGTTGAGAATGATTCTGATCTAGTTCATGGCCTATTAGAAGTAGACAACAGTATTTTTCTCTACTCCATCTACCATGTATTTAAATGGTATCTGTTTACACCATAATCAACCGAGCATATCCAGCATCAAAGCAACTAGCACCAAGAGCATCAACACCATGACACGTGTCACCACCACAGTGACTTGTGCAAAGTCCCACATCGGAAATCTACACAAACCTCCCACTTTCACCTCCCTATAAATAGGGAATAGTATCCATGTGAAAAGGGGACTTCCTCTCCCCACTTAGAAGAGGATCCGGGTCTCAGAGCTAGACCCTAGGGCCAGGGACTCTCTCCTAGATCCCTGGCCTGGGCATCTCACTTGTCATCTTTATATTCAGGTCCAACCCAATGTACAAATGTAATCATACACTATTATAATGAGAACACACTTCTCCGTGGACGTAGCCCATTCATTAAGGGTGAACCACGTATATCTTGTCTTCTTTACATTTATCGCTTGCCCAAGTCTTTACACACATGCTTAAGGTCCTCACCTTCATCCATCATCCATCACACCTCATCACTAAGTTGGACTCAATCTTGGCCTAACCAATTTGAGCATCAACATAACGAATTGTCCTCAGGTCTGTGCTGTTAGCTCATTAGCTTAAGAGGTCATAGTTTGCTTGAACGGCGCCCCAGTAAAGCTAACCTAACTTCGTTGCTGGAAAAAGTTGACTTTAATGAAAATCAGAGTATCAATTGGGCATTCTTTATTTGGTGGTTTCAATTTGTGGGGTTTCAACATTTAGGTCAAACAAAAGGTTAAATTGTACATATGACTGTTGTATAAACACTCTTCTCGTGACCAAGGATTAAAATATCGGCCATGCAGATAATATCGAGCCTCCAATTTTCAGATATTTCGGGGGATATATCGTTTTCGTTTTGGGAATCGGGAAAAAATCAACAAAAATGAGAGATATAGGCATTGAAACACATAATTTTGGTGTAAAACTTTCATAGATGTTATGTACATTATCAATGAATGTATTGGACAAATAAAACTCAAAATTTACTAATAATAAGATATACATATTATAACCAGAAAGAGACAAAATGTGATGAAGTTCATACCTCATTGTCACATGAAGTATCTGAGTCGGTCATTTTATTATCTATGTACAATGTCAAATACAGATTACAGGGATGTGGGAACGTTGTAAAATTTTCCAAAAATAATAAGACCTCTCCATCACTTCATACGTTTTCAAGAACAGAGACAACTTATTTTCGAACACAGGAAAATGTGAAGATATGAGCCATTATCGCATTAGTAGACTACTTCATGATTTATCTTTCACACTAAACCTTCAAAAGAATACAAATGTGATTTCAAACAGAGAGCTTATCTTCCAAAGGTTTCCACTTACCATGCAAACAATATATACACAAATGCCTTCGACACCTGGCCTTGCATGGCTTGCATGGCCAAGCCACCATTTCAACCCAAGGAACCAACTTCCGGTCACGTTGCAAAAGTCTCAATTTATGGGTGGCCA